GACGTATTAAATTCCATAGGGAAGACAAGCAAAACGCGTGAATTTAATATCCTCCTTGATGTTCCGCGTTGATCGTGTAGAAGTATATCAAAGAGACGCTCTTAAGAGCGCTTTGACATTCTCCTTTCAAGAGGAATGAAAGCATTTTATTCCCGTATCCTCCCTCCATCCCTTCGTTTCTATCCACCCCTCTTCTTCAATGCTCCATTTCTCCTCTGATATCAACTTCTTCGATCTCGGGCTTCTTTCTCTTTGAGGATAAGCAACCACTCGATCCCTGTGTATACGACCGTACGCAAACCGGTGCTTGGATGCGTGTGAGAAAAATGCGCGCGAGTTTTCTTTACAAATTGCGCATGGGAACACTCGTGAGATGACTCGTTCGAAAACTCGTTCGAATGCGGTAAACTAATGAAAATTAGATCGCCGTGATTCGTTAATTCCATGTTTCCGTTATGTTCAGATGTTTGGAATAATCATTTAACAATAGCGTGGCATTCGCTTCATCTGTTCCAATGAATTTGCACTTTGATCGATAATTACGAGACTGTTCCGTAATCTTTTCTTACATTTTTTATTTCTCAACAGAATTTTTTCGAAATAGTAGTAAATTGTCGTATACGCGAGTAATCTTCATCTTTTCGTCAAATTAATTTTTATAAATGAAAAACACGATATTTTCATTTTTTTCGATATCGCGGATAAACTTTTTTTTAATTAAAAAATAGACGGAATAAATTTTGAAAGATTTTTTTTCTTTTTTTCAATAAAATAGACGAAATAAACAAATCGTAATCTTTGATACCTTAGTTTTTTTTATCTACGACTATGAGATTATTACATTTTTGGTCATATATATATATATATATATATTCATAAATATTTGCTTAAAAAAAAAATCGTGTAGAGAGATTTTAGATTATATTTTAATTTTTAATTGCCAATAAATAAAAAACAAGCTATATAAAGGAATAATATTAATTTGAATTATATATTTTATAATTAACTCGTGGGAATATTATGAAACGAATTTTATTTCGTTAAAATATAACATAATAAATATTTTAAATAAATAGATTTTTTATTATTTTATTTTTTATTATTTCATTCCAATACAATACATCAAAATCGTTATTAATAATTATTAATACGAGGATAAATTTTTTAATAATTTCTAGTTTTTTCTAGATGAGTTTTCTCTAATAATTGAATCTAGATGAGCGAGTATAAAGTTAATTTAAAGTATAGATAATATTTGTTGTATACAAATAATATTATTAATTGAGAATAATGTGTTCGTTTTTGTAATTCATAATATAAACACTAATAATTGTTATTTTGTTAAGCGATCATGTTTGAATAATTAATCGTAATTTTTTTCCATTGATTTATCGCTCGAAACAAATTACAAACTTGTTCCAGATTTTAATTAGATACATTTGCATAATCGTTGTAACATATTCGTGATTTTCTAACGCGAAGAATCTATTTTCTAAACGATATTTTTATTATATATCCCATTATAAGAATGGCGTTAAAAGTGACGCATTGACTAGTTCCATTGACGATATATTTATCTCATAAGGAGAATATATGTTAAAGAGAGAGAATATTACTTTACATTTTAAATTCTTCGTCTGATTTTATTCGAAAATATTTTCATCTTAAGATATATATATATGTGTCTAAAATTGATATTTTTTAAAATTGATTTATGCTTTTGATAAAAAATAATAAATATTCTCATCTCATATGTCAAGTTGATGTTATAATCAATAATAATCTTCAAGATACAATAAATTGGAAGTAATTTTAAATCGGACGTTAAGATATTATATTTCTATATCAAAATGTCAACTACCTAATTTTTTTAGCTCGATATCTCTGTTTCTTGTTTTTAATATCTATCTCTTCCATTATTTCTTCTTCCATCCCCTCTTTTTCTCCTTTCACTTTTATTCATCGTTCATCGACTAACGGGAAATGATACGGGTCTACCTAACCTTTCGTTCGTCATTTACAGAGAGATACGTTAAATTATTTTTTTTAAATGTATTTTTGTGCGTTATATAAAATTATTTTTCATTCAATATTTCATTCTTCTGTCTCTTTCTTCTAGTTAAAATGATATTATTTAAACGTATTAAAGATCGGGAAGTACAAGAACGATATTTAACGTGCTGATTAAACATATCATTCGACATATTATAAAAATTTTCAACGATATATATATATATACTTTTATTCATCATTCTTATAGAGTTTAATTTAAAAATCAAACAGGCGTATGATAAATCAAATTTTCTTTAAATAATATGAAAAATTTATTTAAGATAAAATTATTTTATTAATAATCTAATTGAACTTCATACAATTCATCGTACAATTTCCTGTAATATTTCGATATATCGTTGATAATTAATTAATATTTCGATATTTCGATATATTGTGATGTATCTTGGGTAATCGATCACGATTAAGTGCAACGTTTGTTTCGTTATATAATTTGAAATAGTGAAAGATCAATAGCAACGATTGAATAGAACGATCGAATTCACTCGTTATTTTCTTAACGAGTTTTCTTTTAAATGGAGTGTTAGGAAAAAATAAAATTTACTTATTTCTATCTATTTATATTTATTTCAAAAAATTTAATTTTTTTTTCAAAACGTTTGTGATTTGTTTGTAAAACGTAAAAAGATTTTACGTATATAAATAATATAGAAAATAAATAAGGAGAGCAACATATTGAGTTAAATTAAATTTAAATTAAATTGAATAAAAGAAAAGAAAGGGAAGGAAAGGAAGAGAGGGAGCAAGAAAGGAGCGTAGATTTAAATGAGTACAGAATATAGCGTTTGTTAGTTGTGAGACGAACGAAGAAGGCCCGACATATGCTCCACATTCTAGGTGAAGCATTGCGTGGAAGATGGTGGTTCGGTGAAATCTTCGGTAACAGTTCGTTGTACATCGGTTACGTTCTTGGGAAAATTCTCAGAGATTCTGAGCCGAGACAAAGGAGGCATCATACTTGCGTACCGTTTACCGGAAGTTGGGAAGGGGGTTGCGATAGCCGTTTAGATATATCACTTTTCCTCGTGGTTCGCCCCCCCCGGAGGCGAGAACAAATCGGAACAATTGTCGATGACGACATACTTTTGTCCTACATATATTTCTATTTTCCCGACTTGACAAATTTGTCCTCCCGCAGCTTTTGTTGCATCAATCGACAATCGTATTACGTACGTATCTTGCGTTTAAATGCTTGCGAATTATTCACAGAATCTTTCGTGAAATCTTGAGTGAGTATTCTCAACAACGAGTTTCTTCTGGTGTTTCGTTTACTTATGAAATCACGATGCTTAAGAAATGATTAAATGCAATTGTTGTCTGGTGTGCGGCAATATTTTAAGAACTTAAATAAGTGGATAATAGCGTTAGATAGTTAAAATAATATTAAACGATTAAGCGGAAATCGCAGATGTAATATATACAATAATATACGATAATACATACGATACAAAACACTCTGTTATTTGAAAATCTATTATCCGAATTACTCGAAGAATCAAGTACACGATACAAATATTCCGTTGATAGAGATATGATAAATGACATCGTTTTATACGTGTAATTACGATAGAAGATTTTCAATACGAAATGAATCTCCATACTGAACAATAGGGAACATAGGGAAGGATAATAACGTCGCAACACAATTTGCGGTTGAAATTTGTATTAAACGAAGCGAGACAAAGAAACCGGTCCGTTTCCGTCTCGTTTCCGTATCTAGAGCGTATAAAGGACAATATAATTAATTTTTAAATAACCGAAAGAAAAGTTTATTATCCCGCGGTAAACCGAACAATTTCTCAAACTACGTATATTTCTAACGAGATAAAAAGAAAAAATACTTGACACGCGTAACGATGAATCCGTTTCACAAATTATAACACGCGTATAAAAGTTAATTGGTAAAAAGATCGAATGCCACCGATGTCGATCTTAGTGTTTTTCCATTTAGAGATCGAATCGCGATTTCAAGGCGAGTTTAGTTCAGTGACACCTCTTTTTAGACGCGTCATTATGTATATGCACGCAAAGATATACGAGAGGTTCGTTCGCGAGTCGTGCTCGTGAACTTCCAGATCCTGTTCTCGATCTTGTTTGGAAAAATTGAACGAACGTCGTGGAAGTGAGATCGACGTTTACGATGAGAAAGAAATCTCTATCGGTTGATCGGTCATCGTAAAAGACTCGTATTTTTAACGCGTGTCTATCGTCTATCGGTATCAATACTGATTTTTCTTCGACAATATTATTTTACAAAGTTGGGAAAATTTAAAATACATCGAAACAAATATATTATTAATTAAGAAACTAAAAGTACTTTAGTATAAGCAAAGTGATTACGTATAAAGTTATATTATATTTATAAAAAAATATATTAATTTTACATTTATAACTTTATTGAAAATAATTTAAACAGTTAAAATTTTTTCAAACGTAAGACAAATTTTTCGAGAATTTTTTTGAAATATATTTTTATTTAAAAATCTTCATTTGATTCTATGATTCTTTTATAACGTTTTATTTAGATTTTATTATCCTTTGTATAAATTTGATTATAATTTATTTATTTAAAATGGATTATAATTAAAACGTAAATAATGTTTAAAAGAGAAATAGAAATTAAAAAAAAATGAGCGAAATAACAATACGATCTTTTTTTAATTTACAGATTGAACGCGAAGTTGTTCTATCATCGGGAGATAAAAATTCAAAGATTCCTATTCTGCACGAATACAAACAAAGAACTGCCGGAAGAGTGGCTATTGCACCGGATGCACCGATCAAGCAGCAAGCTTGGGTTCAAGAGGTGAGTTAATTCTATCTAATTCTCTATAATAGTTATTAGATTAGGAACAATAATGTAATATTTTATAATATTTAGTCAGTTGCAGTGAAAAACGTTGATACACGCAATAATATACATTATAATATATATTATAATTAGATATCTTTATATATTAATTTCGCATTGATTCTAGTATATAACGCAATGTGTTATTATTCAACAAATTAGTATCGATCAATCACAATATGATACGTGAATTAAACGTTTAATAATGTTTTATATCTCTTAATTTATATATCATAATCGATCAATTATCAGCGTTTACTATTTATTTTGGAAAATATCTAAAAGTTTTGAATAGCTTTCGAGTTTTACGTATCTTTGATGTAAAGCATATTTAAATATTAAAATTATTGTTACTTCGTACGTAAAATACTTCACTCGTGATCTTCCATCAAATCGATAAAGTTCAGTGAAATGTTAAGGGTCGAATTTATACGCATGAAAACATCATGTTATTCTTTTTATGGTTTACCATAAAATCCGAGCACTTGTTGAAAATGGAACATGTTATTGATCTCTCTCTCTCTCTCTCTCTCTCTATATATATATATATATATATATATA